GTTCACGGTCACACAGTCAATTAGGGGCAGAGGCAAAAGTAGATCCCAGTTCTCCAAAATCCAAGGTTTCTCCCAAACACACATCAGACAGGTGGCGGGAGGCGGGGTGTGAAGCTCCAGGTCCCATTCTGCACTGCGTGGTACTTACACAGGCACTGTCCCGTCTCCTGCTACCAGGCAGCTCCAAGGCACTTCTCCTGCTGCTTTGGGGAAAGACACTTTGGCCTGAACTGCCTGGGGGCCACCTCTGCCCGCCACCTCTGCCCTCCACCTCGGTGGGGGAACAGAGCAGGGGCGAACCCTAAGGCCCTTTATGGGGCAAAGGCTGACCAGGGCAACCCATGTTTATTTAAATTCTGTACCAGATGCAGTGAAATGTTATTAGCTTCCCCTCTGTCAATGTGCAACGTGGGACCATGTGGACAGGAACCGGCAGAAGGCAACCTTTGCCCGCTCCAGGCAGAGTTTGCCAAACAAACGAACAGCGTAAACAGGATCCTCGGGGAGTTGTCGCAGACCACTTCAGAAAATAAATTGTGTTCAAGGGCCCTTGGGCCTCCTTGAAGTATGTTGTCATGCAATGCTCATCTATTTACATTTTTCGTGTGTGTGTTTACAGAAGAATAGGAAAATAAAATCATTCTTATCTTGTCACTAAAATGGCTCATGCATAGAGCACTTTTAATCTTGTTTGAAATGTGAATGATTTAAAATATCTGCAGATTTTAACATTTTAGTTCAGATAGGTCCATCCAGCAAGTGGTGCTAATTAGAGAGGTTTTATTAATCTCTGGATCTACCGACCCCAGATGGCCACGGCTTGCCAGAGAGCTAAACATTCATCCAGAAACAGCCACAGGGACAGCAAGGCACAAATGGTGGCCCCCGGTGGAGGCTCTTCCTGGGGCAGCAGACTGCCCAGATGGCCTTTGCAGAGCTGGGAGACACAGCCTTGTCCCCGAGGTGGTGGGTAAAAATAGCCCTGTGTAGGTGCAGCTGGGCCCAGAGGCCACAGCTTCCTTGTCTCCAGATCCGGACGCAGCCCAGCTGACAGGCACCTTCTTGGGCTCCTGAGACCCATCCCGAGCCCTGGGGTCTGGAGGGTCCTGCCCTCGCAAGGAAGCCCCGCTTCCGCCCCACACACAAACTGCTGGAAAGAACTCAGGCTATGTTACAAGGTAGCAAAGGGCTTGAGTCCTGGCTGTGCCGGTTACCTGCTCTGTGACCTCAGGCAAGATTTTTCTCCTTTCTGAGCCTCCATTTGCTCGTCTGTCAAATGGGGCTCCTGATTTCTCTAAGGTTTGCAGTGAAGATTAAATAGTGAGATAGCTGACAGGTTTTACTCAGCAACTCACTCTCCTAGCCCTCTCCCTTCTACCAGTGGCTCACTTTCCAGCACATTCTTCAAGAGTGGCTCTGAGGCAAGCCAGCTGCATGTCACGCGGACACTCAGGCAGCCCTATGGGAATATGTGGCCAGGAACCGAGGCCTTGAGACAACAGCCGTGCTGGGGGCATCGTGGAAGCAAGTCCTCTCCCCCCGTGGAGCCTTCAGAGGACCGTGGTCAAGGTGTGGCCACAGCTCGACTTTATAAGCCCATGTGAATTCCCATCGCGGATGCAGGATGCAGTGTTTAACCACGGAACTCTTCAGCAAATTTAGCAAATATTTATTATCTCACACTGTTTCTGAGGGCCAGGAATCTAGAAGTAGCTTAGCTGGGCGCACCAATAAGTAACAAATACACTTACTTTTCAGGGTTATTATAAGAATTAAGGCTCATCGAACAGCAACCAGACTTACTGGGAACAGTGGCTCTAGAAAAGGAAGAAAGGAGCAGCAGAAGGAGGGAGCACTGGAGAGGGAGCATCTGGTTGGGTCCAGGCCAGGCAGGCCCCCCACTCCTGAACTCTGGGGAGGGGTGGAATATACAAACAGACAGTGGCTAGACCATATGCAAAAACAGAATTCTGACCCACACCTGCAGCAACAGCCCAGGAAACCAAACCACAACCCCTGTAGCAGTCAGCCCCAAACGGCCCAGACTTGATCAATAACTGACAGCTTCCCCAGTTTTGTTTCCTTTTCCAACATAGGATGAAAGGAAGAAAGTCAAATATGCTTCCCTAACGGATTACATAGGATGCCCCGCTTCTAGTTAGCCCACCTCCGGCTTCCCCCTGCCGTCAGGGCACACTAGAAGCCTTCCCTTTTTCCCACTGTAAAGCTTTTCCACTTCTCTGCCTGCCTTTGACACCCTGCCAAACTCACGTGATGGCAGCCGGCTCCTTTGCTGTAGCAGGCTCTGAATAAATAGTCATTGTTCTCATTTGGGTGGTCTTTGTTTATTTCCACAAGTCTAAGTTCTTGTTCTCCCTCCCTGCTCGCACGTCATAGACAGCATCTTCCTCTCCCCCCAGGTAGCCAGAGAAACCAGATCAGGGATGACGGAAGGGGGAGGGACAGAAATCATCAAGAGCATAGCTTTGGAACAGGACAGATCTGGGCTCAAATTCTGGCTCTGATACTTAACTAGCTGTGTGGTCTTGAGTAAGGCAATTAACCATTTTGAGCTTCTGCTTCCTCACGTCCAGGGGACAATCCAGTGGAACCCCAGGGCTGGGGCGAGAATTCAGTGAGGTAAGATATTTAATGCACTGAGCATATAGTAGGTGCTTAATGAAGGAAAAGCCAACCATCGGTCTCCCCACAGCCTCTTGCCGGCGTAGGCAGGCCGCTGTACCACATCCTCCTGTGCAGCAGACAGTCTGACCCCGCTTGGATGGAGTCAAGGGCATGCGCTCCACGTCCAGGGTATATCAAAGGTCAGGGATTGGTCTCAGGAGAAGGGTGGGCAAAGGACATATACGAGCATTCCTCTAAAGAAATCCAGCTGGTGAAAAGCAGAGGACGAGATGTGGGGCTGGATCGAGTTGTCTCCTCATTCTGTCCCGGCTCTGAGGGAGGTCAGGGCAGGGAGACAGACTCCTGCCCAGAGAACTCTGGGTGGCCTTGTGCCAGGCTGCTTTCCCAGGAACGAGGAGGGGAGCCAGGTCTCTTCCCAATCTCTCCTGTGTGTCTGTGTGTATTTATGCATGTGGGTCAGTTTCTTCATCTTTAAGAAGAGAAATTCAATAGCTTCTCAAGACGCGCACACACACATGAATTAGTGTTCTGCTCATGGTGAGGGAGTGGCTTCGAGATGCTGGCGTGCTGGGGGAATCCTGAACCCCCTCACTGCAATTTGCCAAGCCCTTTCCTTCCACTTTTCTCTCTCTCCACCACCACTGGCACGGGAATCCAAGCCTCCAGTCAGAGTCTTTTGCCTGGACTGTTGCAAAGACTTCTAAATGCTTTCCTTCCTTCCTCATGACAATCAAAGAATACGAATTAACACAAGGTTGAGAAACCATCCACCCCCATCCCATACACACAGGCAAAGATTTTAAAAATAAAGTCAATAATCAGGATTGAAGGCAACGCTCCCCTTCCCCACAGGGCAGGAGTATAAACTGGTATGCTTCTGGAGAGCAATTTGGTAGGATGTAATTTTCTGATTCTGCAGGTCCATCTTTCAAAATATAATCTAAGTAAAAAATTACTGTTTCTGTACAAAGACTTTGTTACAAGGCTCTTTATGGTACTAATGTTTCTGATGCAAAAAAAAAGGAAACAACTCAAATATCCAAAAATAGTGACCTTGGTTAAACAAATTGTAGTAGCCTATACCTTGAACACCATTCCTTCGCTAAAATGATGTTGCAGATCAGAAGTTCTCAAAGTGTGGTCCTGGAAGAGCAGCATGAGCATACCCTAGGAATATGTCAGAAATGCACATTCTGGGGCCCCGCCCCAGACCTATTGATTCAGAAACCCTGGGCTGGGCCCAGGAATCTGGGTCTCAAGTCCTCCAGGCAATTCAAAACAACCGTTGATGAATATTTACCACTAGGAGAAGCTACACGGTTAAATTTCGAAGGGTTACAGAACACGTACAAAACTATGTATGAACAGTACATTCTTTTTTTTTGAGGAAGATTAGCCCTGAGCTAACATCTGCCACCAATCCTCCTCTTTTTGCTGAGGAAGACTGGCCCTGAGCTAACACCTGTGCCCATCTTCCTCTACTTTATATGTGGGACGCCTGCCTCAGCATGGCTTGATGAGCGCTGCGTATGTCCACACCCGGGATCCGAACTGGCCAAGCCCGGGGCCGCCAAAGCGGAGCGCGCGAACTTAACTGCTGCGCCACTGGGTTGGACCCCAGAGCGTCCCTATTTTGAGTAAATGCGTATAAAGATAGACACACAGAAAGGCCGGGAAGACTTCGTATCCAGGTGGCAATATCGGCACTTTCTGGGTGATAGGATTATGAGGATTTAGATTTTTTCATTTTGCTAATCCATACTTCCTAACTAGTTTACAATAACGTGTTTTTGTAAAAAGGAATGGAGAAAAAACGCCAGTAATATTTTTAAATTAAAAGAAAAATCCAATGGGGAGGGGTGGGGGGGACGCAGGCAGAGAGCACTCCTCACCCCGACAGCCTTCAGTGGGGTGGGGGCGGGGAGCTGGGAGGACCCGGGAGGCGCGGGGCGGCGGCTCCGGCCCCAGGGCCACAGCCAGCGGAGAGGGGAGAGAGGGGAAGGAAGGCAGCGCCGGGGGTCACAGCTGCTCCCCTGATGTCTCGGAAGGCTTGCCAGGATTTAAATAAAGAGCGGAGAAGAGATTGAGAGCAGACTTCAGGAAGAATCTAGCTGCTAAGAGCACCAAATCCCAGAATGGGCGCCTTGGGGAGATTTTCCAGCCCGGAACAGTCCGCAGCTGCCCCGAGGGGGTCGAGCTTCGCCGGCGGGGAGGACGATGCCGCCCGGATCTCCCGACCCTTTCCGGCCTTGGGACTCCCAGGAGCTGCGCTCCGGGCAGGATTCCCGCTCTCGGGAGACGGGGTGGGGCCTGGCGCGGGGGAGGAGGCGGGGAGGGGGCGGGGCCGTTGCTAGGGGAGCGGCCGCGGCGCCGGCGAGGAGCGCCCCCCGAGACCACGCCGCGCGCTCGGCTCTCCGGCTCCAGCTCGCGCGCAGCCTGTTGCTCGCTCCTCCGGGCCGCCGCTTCCCGCCCGGTGCCCAGGAGCAGGCGGCCCGAGGGGTGCCAGCGCGCGGGCGGACCCCCGCCTTCCTCCTCTCCTGCGCACACGTAGACCCGAGCGCCTCCCAGAGCGCGGGAGCCGGCGAGCCTCCCCGTGCGCCCCTGACCGCGCGCCGAGACCCCCGGCCCCGAGCGGCGATGAACGCGACCTTCCTGAACCACAGCGGCCTGGAGGCGGCGGGCGGCGGCGGCGGGGCCGCCCTGGGGAACCGCAGCCACGGGCTGGGCACGTGGCTGGGCTGCTGCCCCGGGGGCGCGCCGCTGACCGCCAGCGACGGGGTCCCGGTGGGGCTGTCGCCTGACGAGCGCAGCTTGTGGGTGTCGCGCGTGGCGCAGATCGCTGTGCTTTGCGTGTTGTCGCTCACCGTGGTCTTCGGCGTTTTCTTCCTGGGCTGCAACCTGCTCATCAAGTCGGAGAGCATGATCAACTTTCTGATGCAGGAGCGCCGGCCCTCCAAGGACGTGGGCGCCGCCATCCTGGGGCTGTACTGAGAGCATCTCGGCCCGCCCTCGCCAGCGGGGCTGGAAGGAGACGGAGAAGGGAGACCGGGACCCTCTTCCCCCTCCCCGGGCTCTGCCGCCTCCTCCCGCCAGGCAGCGCAAGGGGCAGCGACGTGCGTCGGGGCGCCCGGCCGGGACACTGCGGGACTCAGGCGGCGGCGCGGGAAGGGACTTCCACACTCGGCTCGCTCCTGTGTGCGCTTCAGCGTTGGGGGGTGGGAGCGTAGAAGAGGGAGTTCTTAACCGTTTTTCAAAAAGGAAGTTCCAGGCAGAGTGGAGAGGCTGTGGGATGCAACTTGGGGCTGAGGTCACTCGCGTGGGAGTTTGGTGTGTAAGTAGGTGGGGGGCAAGTTATTGAGGAATCCGAGTCTCTGAGCTTGTTGGCCTGATTTTCAGTTGAAAAGAAATCTTGTAATAAAACCAAAAGCCGTCGGGCTTCTGGCGGCTTCCCACCCGCACCACTGCGGGGGTGTGTGTGTGTGTTGGGATGCGCGCTGGCGGGGGCGAGCGGGCGGTGTGTACTCTAGCGGCAAGCACTTGAAGCCGGTCACCAGACGCCTATCTGCAGGACTGGGGAGTCCTGGGCTGGTCGGTGGCTCCTGACGCCCCACTCCGAGGCCGAGGCCGAGGCCGAGGCCGCAGCCTGGGAGGGAAAAAGGAACCATTTTCTACGCGGACAGCCACGGTTCTGCAGGGCGCCCGGACAGCTGGTGAGCTTAATTAAATCATTGGGAAATTTGAATCCACTTCGTGAGATGAAAAAAAATCAATGACTTGAGTCCCAAAGAGAGAAAACAGCAAAATTAAAACATCAGGACAGTGAACAAATAAAATTTAATTGGGGGGGGACTAGATCTAGTTAAAAATTTAATTATAGGGCCAAAATCTGCGTCTAAGGGCTTGTTTGGAACCCTCCCCCACCTTGTAGAGAGTAAGCGAGTAGATTCTGGAGACACCCCTAGCAGCATCCCAGAGAGGGGGGATGTCAGCTTGGGAGAGGGCTTTGTGGGGTGAAGGACCCAGGATGTCTAATTTGGAGAAAATGGCTTCCAAATGCAGCTGTGTTCAGGGAATTTGGAAGCTCCGTTATGAGCTGCCCCCTGCTGCCGGGAGCCCTGGCGCCTCTCTGGTGCAGAATTCCTTTAAAGGGTGTTAAGCAGTGAGAACCTCGGCACTCACTGGCCAAGGGGGAGTGGGTGGCGCTGCTGTGGGCAAGTGTCTGGTCGGGGAAAGCTGACACTGGGGGGTGGGGGCACAGGAGGACAGAAAGGCTTTGTGGCAGATTTAGATCGCCCTTCGCCCTCCTGCCAACCCCACTCGGGCGCCTGGTGCTTGGAAGATGCTGGGGTGGAGGACTCTGACGCTACCCCCCCCTTCTCTCTTTTGCCGTGGGTGGAAGTGAAGGTGAATGTGAAGAGAGACGGGTGGTGTCCCGCTTGGCTTTTGGAAGAGAAGTGGGCACACCATCTCGTGTCTTCAGCGCTAGTTCCTATGCGGGAGGGGGGCAGTAGCTCGACAAAAGCATAGATGGTCCCTGATTATGAAGGATCCAGACTCTTCTGGCTCCTGAGCCCTCCTGTGTAGTCAGAATCATCATCATCAGGATGTGTCATCGCCCCCCAGTCTCAGACCTGGGAGAGCTCATCAGTTAATCAGGCCAGGCCAGGCCAGCGAAGGCCAGAAGCCAGAGGCTACTTGTAAAGAGTCTATGCAGCAAAAGCCACAATGTGGAGAACATTCTGTTGGTTTACGGTGACTTGCAGGTGGCCCAGCCTGATCTGAGGAGAGCAGTCTTTAATGATCTGGGCAACCTGGCTTCGTGTAGCACAGATGTCTGGAGCGTCGGCTGACCCAGTGGCCTGGAGAACGCAGCTCAGACAGCTGCAGGCGTTCATGCAAAACCCCACTGATGGAAAACAGGAGTTTCAGGAGGAACGCAGGGTTAGACGATGTTTTCTGGCTGACCAGGTGAGAGTGAGCACTATGGAACTTTGACTAATAGAATGGGCCAGCTGCTAATTGTGATGGGTCAAGGGGAGGGGATTCAAGAGTTGTTTCCTGAATTGGCTGAAAAAGGAAAGCCTTAGTGGGGAAGTCTTGCAGGATTTTCTCACTGTAAAAAAGAGAAAGGACAATGAAGATATGTGTTTACTAACATGGATGTTTGTGCCCTTCATCCCGTGACCAGTGCACCCACATGAACGACTATGCACACTCGGGCACACTCATGCACACTCATGCAGGCACACACAAGGTAGGCTCAAGCCTTGAGGAGGAACACAGCAAGCGTGAGTGGGGTCCTGGGAAGGGGGGAAAGGTGAGATCACAGTTGTAGCCTATGTCAGTTCTCCCTGCAGCCCTGGCGGCCTGCAGTGTGTTTACGGAGCTGTCTTACATAAACCGCGGGGGTGGGGTGGGAACACTAAGTTACATAAGAGCTGATGAGACATAGTGCTCCGGGGGAAAGGCAGACTGGATCAGAATCCCGAGCCTGGGGCATTGAGTGGAGGATGGAGAAGGGGCTGTTTTTCAAAAGCGCTTCCCTCCACTGTGTGGGCAGCACTGGGCAGCGAGAGCTCTTCCTACAAGGCCTGCCCAGGATGCAGGGCCCAAATTTCTGAAGGTCCTGGCATCAGAAGAGAAGACCTGGGACCCTGGTCTTTGAAGTCCTAGCTACCCTGCTTTCTAGATCTGTGACCCTGGGGAAGTAACTCAACCCCTTTGTGCCTCAGTTTCCTCGTCTATTAAATGGAAGCAGTGGGACCCATCGCTCCCATGAGATGATGTGTGTAACGTAGCCGACACAATGCCTGACATGCCGTAGACACTCAAAGATAGTTATTATGATGATTGCTATTTTTGTTTATTGTATGAACTCTTTGCCAGCAAAATATATTTGGTTCTCTGAAATGGGATCCCTGGACAGAAAAATAGTAATTCACATTTGCGAAGCATTTTGTAGTTTTCAAAGCATTCATAAGCAGGACGAAAATAATGTGTCGAGTGTCTAGTGTCTAATGCCAAGCCCTGAGCTGTCCCCCTCGTGAGAAGGGTTTCATTAGTACTCCCATTTTATAGATGAGGAAACAGGCTCAAAGAGGTTGGCTGCGGTCACACAGCTGGGAAGGGACAGAGCCAGGATTCACCCGGGTGTGTGACTCCAGTCTTCACTCTATGTCATCTGGCTGCTCTCCCCAACAGCTTGGTGAGTCAGAGCAGACATTTTCTTATTGGCCTGTTTACAAGAGGTTCCGTTTAACGGACTTTCCCAAACCCGTTCATTCAGCCAGTGTCTACTGCGAATCTGCTGTGAGCCAGGAACTGTGCCAGGCCCTGGGGTGAGCGAGGAGATGGCAGAGCTAGAGTCTAGCCCGGCCTGCAGCGCCTGAGGCCCCGGGTACTTGCATGGGTCCTCAGAGCCGCTAGCCCTGGGCTGCTAGCTGGTTCCAGGGTCTCAGGGACTAGGTCAAACTCTCCACTTCCTTTCCTCTGAATCAAGGATGGAATTTCTGGGGTCAGATGTGCCCTCACTAGCAAGATGTCCCCTGGAATGGGGGACGTAGGGAGGGCTTACATCACACCATCCACTTACTTTCCCTCTTGTCTGTCTGAGCCCAGTTCACACAGAGGCCCCAACTCAGCAGCAGACCAAGAGCAGCCTTGAGCCGTGGGGGAGGTTTCAGAGGGCAAGAGGGAAGTGTGAGCAGTGGTGGGCACAGACAAAAGCAGCTCACAGCCAGCATTCCAATGTTGGAGAAAAGTATATGTGTGGATGTGTGCAACACACACACACACTTTATACAAAGGACTTCAGTCAGGTTTCTGAGTAGCATCCCTTGAGTGCAGCTCATGACCCTCTCTTGTCAATCAAGATCATGCCAGGGACGTGGGATGTCCTCAACGCTGAACCCTAGCTCAGGCCAGGTCAGGCACGTGTCCAGGCCTCTGAGATGGCAGCTGGAGAAGTGTCCTAAGGCAGCACCTGCTTACCTTTGCAGCCATATGCCCCTAAACTCAGGAATCTGTGATAGGTACGCTCCAGTTCATGGACAGGGAGCGTTTAATCTGTGGAGAGCATTCTAGAACTTTCAGCCAAAAAAAAAAAAAAAGCAACAGAGTTAGAAAACCAGCTTTTATAAGACTGTCATCTGGTTGTGTGTGTGTGAGATGGAAGTCCTCCCATTTCTACCATCTTGGAGGAGCCAAAGACTACATCAGTGGGGATTGGTAGCCCTGGGAGTTAACACACAGAGCTATCCACACCCAGGCTGACCCAGGCAGGCCAGCCAATGGACACCTGACATAGACACACCCTCAGACACTGGGGCATCGGTTCCTCCTTTGTACCCACAAGGGCGCTGCATTCCACGAACCAGATTAAAACAATGGTAATAATAAAGTAGGTTTTTTTTTTTTGCATAGTCACTATGCTACTCCTTTTAAGGGCATTATTTAAATTCATCCTCATAACAGCCCTTTAAGGCAGATACCATCATTATCCTCACTTTATCTTACTACTGGTGATGAATCTGAGGCCCAAAGAGGTTAGGTAATGAGTTCAAGGTCACACCTGCAGCTAAAGGGTGGCAGAGGTGAGATGCAAACTCAGGTCTTATAAATGTGCCAGCCAGTGCCAGTACTTATTAGGCGTGCCCTATATCACTCTCCGGGTGGGGGCTGCTGAGGTTGCTAGGATGAAGTCAACTCTGCCCTCAAGATGCTAATAACATGACTATGGAAACAACCATCCACGTGGGGGACTCAGTGGTGCCCTGCTCTGAGCCTCCACTGTTTCTTTCCAGGTAGCCAGCACCAGCCAGTGGGTATGGGGTTCTGGTGGGAGCTTGCAGGCTGGCTATGAACCTGGGTTTCGCCCAGGGCTTGCTTTGCAGGGGAATGCATGGGCAGAAAGCCCAGGACATGGGACCTGGATGTTGACGATGACACAGCCAGATGGGCAGAGGCCAACTTCTGTCACTGGTGCTCACACTGCGCAGACCGCTGGTTCTCTGCTGAGCTGGGCCAGGCTGGCAGGCGCAGACTCCACCTGTGCTCCAAAGGTGAAGTTCAGCAGGGGTTCCAGGGACCCTCCATGCAACCCTCACCCTCTTGTTGGGGTCCTTTCCCATTCTGAGTCTTCCTTCCATCTTGGCCAAGAGCCAGGGCTTTTTACAGGGTCATTTCCCCGTTATAGCTGCACCAGAAGGCAAGAAAGAAGAGAGAGGAGGAGAATGAGGGGGAAAGGAGGATAAAGAGGAGGAAAATGATGGGAGAGGAGAGAGAAGGAAGAAGAAGAGGATGGAGGAGAATGAAGCAGGAGGCCCAGCAGGAAACCCCCTTCTGCCCTGGCCCCGGGTTCTGCCAACACACAGCCTCCACCAACCCTGGCCATCAATTTGCCAGATACTCAGTGTCTCTGCAGGGAAATAAAGAGAAGTAGCAACACTGAGGGTGATTA